TGACATAGGTTGCAGCACCCTCTAGGGGGGTTGTGTTAGGGCCAGTTTCTCCAAGTTTTTGGAGTGTTAAAAGCGCTGGAGTGCTGAAATATACAACACAAGATATCAATGGCATTGCAGAACACCCCCGTAACCTTGTGCCTAGGTGACAGGTTCAGGAACTACCAATCAGAAGTGAGCTAGTGTGTATATGGGCGGAGGGAGGGAGATTAACGTTATATGTACCATTGTTATTGGGTCCCTGTTAAGCACACTTTAAACAACAACAAAAATCACATGAATTAAATTTTTTAACCCATTCGAATTCAGGCTGACAAGGTTTTATTGTATATTTTGTTTGGTTGTGATGCACTGTCTATACAACATTGTCAGCGCCCCATTGTGGGGAACAAAGCACAGACCCACTGCATGGATCAGTGGAGGACATGCATTGCACCACAATCTTTATAGAGGTCTGTGGCATTCCGGTTAGTTCGACTTTAGTCTCCCCAGACCCCACCCATATACACACTAGTTCACTTCTGATTGGTAATTCCCTAGCCATGTGACCTTCGGTTACGGGGGTGTTCCGCAATGCCGTTGATATCAGCACACCAGCGCTTTTGACACTCCAAAAACATGGACAAACTGGGTCTAACACAACCCCCCTAGAGGGTGCTACAACCTATGTCACAGGCATTCTCTTTCTCAGAATGAAACTGTAAATGCAAGACATCGGAGAAATCAAAGAATAGCGGACACATCCATAACCTTTAGGAAAGTCAACCAGCCCAACAAACTTGTAAATGAAGAGTGACCTACTCTATTTGGGGAGACTAACGTCAAACTAACCCATTCCCATCTGAAAACCATTGGCAGGAAAAAAGAAAAGAAGTCTGGCTTGACATTTTAAAAAAGAAATGTGTACACAATAAGTGTGATTCCTACTAACTTTGTGCTATCTCAATGGACAGTCCTAGAAAAACAAATGCAAAATTACATGTTAAACATGAAATGAGATTAAAACGTGGCGGGAAAGACAAGAGACAGATTCATCAACGAAGAACTAAGAACAATAGTATTGGTACCGGTAAATGATGTCATGGAACATTACAGAATAAAACATTTTAGTCAACTGACGAACACTAAAAGAACACTGTTTAAACACAATATGTTTACCAACGCTCTGCTATCAATGTTAAACATGGACACTGTCTTCAGAAGACAGAAGGAAAATAGTCACGACAGAAATGAAATGTTCACGAACTATGCTAGGTGTAACGAGGAAAGATCGATTTATGAACGATGACATCAGGATGAGAGTCAGCACAGAACCAATACTGAACTTTACAGGTAGACAACAAATCAAATGGTTTGGCCATGTAACAAGATTGGCAGCAGACAGGGCACCACAGAGAGCAATGTTATACAGATTCATTGTTAACAGACCCAGAGGTTGACCACGCAGAAGATGAACCGCACAAATACCAGAGACACTATATACAAAGCGAACAGAAGGGCTCGTTCTAGAGAACTCTTCCTGCCCTGACGCCGCGAGGCATTCCAGGAGTAGAGAAAAGAACAATATGATCAGAAAAGAACAAAATTAGCCAGCAGCTAGAGCATGCTATATGAGAACAGAAGACTACAAGTTAAAGGGCCCCCCCCCCCCCCCCCCCAAATAAAACCAGATGATTAGGTGAAGTAAAGACACTACAGAAACCCTCAGTTATATTGATGAAGGAATACCCACAAGAACAATGGGTCAGAGTCTATACAGATGGGTCCGCAGAAAGTGCAGTTAGAAATGGTGGTGCTGGAGTGTACATAGAATTTCCAGATGGTACTAGGGATAAGTCCAGCCTACCAACCGGAAAGTACTGCCATTACTATGATGCAGAAACTCAGGCTTCCAAGATAGCAACAGAGAAACTGCTAAATACCAACCTTGGCTCACAGTATGTGGTAATGCTTACAGATGCAAAATCAGTACTTGAAGCACTCCAGTATAGGAAACTACCAGAATTGCAAACACTGCTAACACAACTTAGCCTTCAGCGAAGAGTTGTAATGCAGTGGATACCATCACATTGTGGAGTGCCTGGAAATGAGAAAGCTGATCAACTGGCAGGAGAAGGTGCGACAAAAGTGCAGCCAGATGTACCAGTCACATACCACCAAAAGAAAAGAATCATTAAATCAATCAGAAAACCACCAGCCCCAGCACAAGACAACTATTTTATTTTAAACAGATCAGAACAAGTCATTATCCTCCACCTCAGAACAGGGCACAACCGATTACGTAACCACATGTATACAAAATTCAAGATAGGCGTATCAGCCATGTGCACTTGTGGAAAGGTGCCCCAGACAGCAGAGCATGTACTCCAGGACTGCACCGAATCTGACACATTAAGGCAAACCTTTTGGCCAGAAAGAACAACAGTGGAATGTAAACTCTATGGATCACTGAATGAATTAACAACAACAACAGTGAAATTTATACAAGAGACAAAATTGCTGATATAGACAACTTATTTCAGGCGAACAAAAGAAGAAGAAGACTAAAGAAACACAATATGACATTAACATAAGCTACACAATAGCAAAAGACATGAAACTACATCTAACTCCTCTTTGTGACACTTCACGGCATAGCCAGTGGGATTTTCTAGACAGTTTTCTGTAACTTCAACTATACGTACTCTCCTGCTGTAACCATGTGTGTGTTGCATAGACACAGATATGTATTAATAGTTTATGAGGACATATGTGGTAACATTAGGGAACAAGGCACAGGAGTTCTGACTGCAATTATAGTCATGTAACTTTCAGTCATGTGGCAATTTAACAGTCATCTAACTCTCAGTCATGCAACAATACAGTCACGTAACTCACAGTAATGTAAATTTTAGTCAAAGTCCCAATCATGTAACTTTCAGTCATGTAACTATATAACAGTCATGTAAGTCTCAGTCATGTAACAATGTAACAGTATAAGAGTTATTTATGTAATTCACAGTCATGCAACAATACAACAGTCTTGTAAGTCTCAGTCATGTAACAATAAAACAGTCAAGTAACCTTTAGTCAGGTAACAATATAACACAGTCATGTAAGTCACAGTAATATAACAGTCATGTAACCAGGCATGTAATTTTCAGTTATGTAACAATGTTTATGTAACAAGGCATGTAATTTTCAGCCATGTAACAGTTTAACAGTTATATTTGTAATTTACAGTCTAACTTTCAGCCATGTAATTATAATAGTCATGTAACTTTCAGTCATATAACAATATAAGTCATGTAAGTCACATTCATGTAACAATATAACAGTCATGTAAGTCACAGTCATGTAACAGTATAAGAGTTATTTATGTAATTCACAGTCATGCAACAGTCTTGTAAGTCTCAGTCACGTAACAATATAACAGTCTTGTAAGTCTTAGTCATGTAACAATACAAGTCATGTAACTCATGGGAGCCATAGTCATTTTATATTTAAAAAAAAACTATAAATTTGTACTAACTCACATATATAACTGAAAAACACACGCTCATATGATATGTGACCCTTACCGCATATGACAATTCAATATGATGACATAACTTCAAAAATAATTTTTCATTACTAATAACAGTACAATAATGGTTTTTTACAAAACATAAATAAGTAGTAGTTTGTGTGATGCTAGTCTAAGGTTATCTCCACAAAGTCTAAGGCTATCTCCACACAGTCTAAGGCTATCTCCACACAGTCTAAGGTTATCTCCACACAGTCTAAGGTTATCTCCACACAGTCTAAGGTTATCTCCACACAGTCTAAGGTTATCTCCACACAGTCTAAGGTTATCTCCACACAGTCTAAGGTTATCTCCACACAGTCTAAGGTTATCTCCACACAGTCTAAGGTTATCTACACATAATGACATCTCTGGTGATGAGGCTAAGACTGTTCCCACTCACCGACATCCTTGATGACAGCTTTAACCTGCCCCCCCCCCCCCACACTGACATCTCTGATGACAGTTCTAAAGCTGTCCCCACACACTGATATCTCTGATGACAGTTATAAAGCTGTCCCCACACACTGATATCTCTGATGACAGTTATAAAGCTGCCCCCACACACTGATATCTCTGATGACAGTTATAAAGCTGTCCCCACACACTGATATCTCTGATGACAGTTCTAAAGCTGCACCCCACACACTGACATCTCTGATGACAGTTCTAAAGCTGCCCCCACAAACTGACATCTCTGATGACAGTTCTAAAGCTGCACCCCACACACTGACATCTCTGATGACAGTTCCAAAGCAGCCCCACAAACACTGACATCTCTGGTGAAGTTCTAAAGCTGTCCCCCACACACTGAGATCTCTGATGACAGTTCCAAAGCCATCCACACACAGTGACATCTCTGATGACAGTTCTAAAGCTGTCCCCAGACATTGACATCTGTGATGACAGTTCTAAAGCTGTCCCACACAAACTGACATCTCTGATGACAGTTCTAAAGCTGTCCCCCACACACTGAAATCTTTTATGACAGTTCTAAAGCTGTCCCCCACACACTGACATCTCTGATGACAGTTCCAAAGCCATCCACACACAGTGACATCTCTGATGACAGTTCTAAAGCTGTCCCCACACACTGACATCTCTGATGACAGTTCTAAAGCTGTCCCCCACACACTGACATCTCTGATAACAGTTCTAAAGCTGTCCCCCACACACTGAAATCTTTTATGACAGTTCTAAAGCTGGCCCCACACAATAACATCTCTAACGCACACTTCTAAGGCCACCTTTCACACACAAATCATTATGGAAAATGTACATATCTAAAGAAACATTTCCAACATAAATATACAACTGTATATACAACTATACAGCCAGACCTCCATACAATTATCATGGCAGTTTTATTCTGAAACTTCTGATGAAAGTTCCATCCCCACACACAATCAAGTGTTGTGCCTACAACCACATAGCAGGACATCCCTCACTCAAACTATCATTGCAGTTTCAAGTTGACATCTCTGATGAAAGTTTCCAATGCTGCAATCACACGAAGAGTCTCCGTGCCAGCGTCCAACTTCACATACCTCAACAGCAGATCACCACAGTTACACACTTTCAAAAATGACAGAGATCTGCAAATGACAAACCATTAAATTTTGTATTTTAAAGACTTCACTAGAAATACAGTGCAGACCTGACAAGGAGAACTCACCAGGGACGCAAAAAATGGTTCCTCTTATTAGAAATGCCTCTTATCCAGATAAGAATTTAAGCAAGAAAAATTGCCAGGAAAAAAGCAAATTGTTGTTCAAAACAAAAGGAATTCACCATATCTGAGATCGCTTCAAGTGGTCTGCACTGTAAATGTATAAAAACAATTCACTTAAATAATGGAGTTCCAAAAACACTAAAGGGGGGGAAAAAAACAAATTCAATTCTCCATGTTGGTTACCAGGCCACATTTTTAGGGGGAAAAGGAACACTGCCACCGTCCCTCCCCAAGCATGTCACATCAGTTCTCGTTATGCCTAGTGGCACATGAGGCTTCAGAGAGGACTTTCCATGCTTTCCTGTCCTGTGCAATCTTCAGTGCAGTTTTCCATGTCAAAGATGCCGCACTCAGGTCACCTTCCATCGTTCGTCTCCATGTTGTTTTTGGGTGCCCCTGTTTTCTCTTTCCCTCTTGTGTCTATGTGAGAGCTGTATTGGCGTTTATATCAGAAGTCATTCTCATAACGTGGCCAAGCCATTTCCATCTTCTCTTGGTAATCATACTGTCTAAAGTTTCTTGGTTTGTGGCTTAAAGTAGATTAGTGTTTGAGATTGTATCTGGCCAAAAAATTTTGATAATTCTACGTAGACATGTGTGGTGGAAGGTCGACAGCTTGTGTGCATCCTTTTTGGTCATTCTCCAGCATTCCGCTCCATAAAGAAGAACTGGCAAAATGATGCTCTTGTAGAGTCGGAGTTTCATTCCTCTGCAGTAATTGTTGGATTTCCAGATTTGCCTCATCCTTCCAAAAGCAGCTGTAGCTTTGTTCAGACGTGACTGTATGTCTTCCTCTGTCCCTCCCAGTAGGGACACCACACTGCCAAGATATGTGAAATGTTCTACATTTTTAAGAGATTGGTTACTTATGGTCACTGGTTGTTGGTTTGGACTGTTTGTCATGATCTTAGTTTTCTTTATATTTATTCTCAGTCCCACCATTTCTGCTGTGCAGTTTAGTCTGTTACTTTTCTCTTGTATATGTTCATGTTTATGTGATAGGAGTGCTATATCATCTGCAAAATCAAGGTGCTCAAGCATGGTGAATGGAGTCCATCGTATGCCTCTTAATGTCCTGTCTCCTGTGTTCTTTAGTTTCCAATCAATCACAAGGTTAAAGAAGAGAGATGACATAACACATCCCTGTCTTACACCCGTCTTTACTGGGAAAGATGTATTGTAATTTTTTATACTGCAGGAAAAGTCTTTATAGAAGAGAGCAATTATGTTGACTATTTTTTTCTGGAATTCCATAATGTGTAAAATTTTCCACAGACCGTCTCTATGGACGCTGTCAAAAGCTTTCTCAAAGTCCACAAAATTAATATATATATACTTCTCTGCCATTCGTTGCATTGTTCTAAAATGTTACGTATGGCGAAGATGTGCTCAGTTGTTCCTCTGCCCTTTCTGAATCCTGCTTGTTCCACTCGTAGGCATTTATCTACTCCTTTTTCAAGCCGCATTATGATGATTTTACAAAATATTTTGCTTGGTACTGAGAGTAGAGTAATTTTCCTCCAATTATTGCAGTCTGTTAAGTCTCCTTTTTTGGGGATTTTGACTATTGTTCCTTCAGTCCAGTCATCAGGCAACACTTCTTTTTCCCAAATATCCTTGAACAATGGTTCTAGAATGCTAGCAGTTGTGTTGGGATCTACTTAGAGAAGTTCTGCTGGCAGTTCGTCTTTGCCTGGTGCTTTGTTGTTCTTTAAAGTGTGGATAGCTTTAAGGATTTCTTGTTTGCTTGGTGGTTCAGTAATAATGTCAATGTCCTGAGAGGCTGGTTGAATATCTGGGGGATTTTTCGGGACCAGGTCAGTTCAAGAGGTCGGAGAAGTGTTTAGTCCACTGCATGTCTTGTTTTTGTTCTGTAGTGAGCAGTCTGCCTTGGTTTTCTCTGATGGGTATGATGTGATAATTGTTTCTGTTTCCGCAAATTTGCTGGGTAATTTTGTGTAGGGTTTTGTAGATCATGTGCAAGATTTTCCATAAATCTTCTCTTGTCAGCTCTGGCACTTTTCTTGGTCATTTTATTTAGTTCGCTATATTCTAACATTAGTTTGTCTTTCTGACGTTCTGATTTAGTGTGATTTATGAGGCTCTTTATTCTTTTTCGCTTGGCAATATAGTCCATGGTTTGACTACTTATCCATTCTTTGTGGTGTTGTTTCCTGGTTGCTAATATGTTATTGCTAGTTGATTTGTATGTTTCTTTGATCTGGTTCCATCTGTTTTGAATGCTGATTGTAGTTGGAGTTTCTGGGTCACTTGATAGGGTTTTAAATCTATTCTTGAGTTCTACTATAAATTTAGTGGCAATGTCTTTTTCTCTTCAAAGGTTAACATTGTAACGTGCTGTCTGTGTCTTAACTTGCGTGTAAACTTTTTTGAGTTTAAGTCGTAGTAGAGCGACTACAAGGTGATGATCGCACATGAGGTAACTAATTAAAGGTGCTTCCTTTAAATGTAGGGGTGCATCCCCTGAGATGTGCAGAACCAATAATCTGCATTTAAACAAGCCTGATCTGTAAATCAAATGTGCACGCAAGCTCTGGAACAAGATCAAAGTCCAGAAGTGGATGAACAACTAGAAGTTTCTGTAAAAGTTAACAGCCAGTGAACGCAAAGACAAATTAAACGCCTATCAATAAATGCAGTGCAATAGAGAAATCGGCATTATTTGGGAAATTCTTAGCAAAAGAGGCAGTTGGAAGACAAGAGAAAGATGTGCGTGTAGAAAAAAGCTTCACCCAGTCACCCCGAAAAGACTGCATCTAGTCATTTCTGGTTGTGACACAGTTCCATAAATGCATATATATATGGCCAAGTTTCCAAATTCATTCATTCTTTAATCCTGTTGGGAGCCCGCCATGGTCTAGCAGATAGATGCTTGTCTGCGGATCGGAAGGTTGTAGGTTCGGTTCCTGGCGGAGCAGGATTTTTTCAAAAAAGGACCAGGTCGACCCAGCCTTGAGGACCCAGGTACAGGCCTTGGAAGTAAAGGCAGCCGGCATGATGCTGACTACATCTCCCACCAAGTGCAGTTTGGTCTATAAAATATGTCTAGCCCTATATACCCAATACGCCTGAAAGGCGTGGAAAAGGGTCCTTTACTGTTAATTAATCCTGTTGTGCCATTATATGTCACACAGAGCTCGCAGTATATTCCTCCATTCCCTTCTGTCCTGAATGGAAACCAATCCAGCAGCTTTGGCCTCTTTTATCAACATTCATCTTAGGGTTTCTTTTGGGCATCCTCACCGCCTTAATCTGTTTTTGTCCCATTTTAATGCCTATTTAGTGATTCTCCTCTGGTTTCTTCTCACAATACAGAGCCATCTTCTCTGTCTTATAACTCTTGATACTTGTGGTTGCCCAGACATTTCTCTTATTTCTTCACTCCTTCTATTTTCATCATTTTTTTTCAGACATTTGTTTTCTAATGTCTTTAGTGCTTCTCCAACTGTCACTTGCATAAGTTAAAATTGAAATAACATTAAAAAGTTTTTAAAAAAGACCCTCTTCAACGCCTTTAGGTATATAGGGCTAGACCTATATTTGATAGACCAATCGGCACAAGATGGTTAATGTGGTCAGCATCATGCCGGCCGCCTTTACTTCCCGGGACTGCACCCGGTACTCACTCAAAGCTGGGTCGACCTGAAATAACATTAGAACTTAAATTTCCTAATACCCATATATGAAATAAACATTCAGTTCAAAACATTTTTCTCACCTGTACAAAGCATAATGGTCAATCTCAGCTTTTTTCAAATATCTCTTGAAAGTGTTAAGATTGCGAACAAACTGAGAAGGAAAAAGACACCCAACAAAATCAATGGGAAGTTTTGAATAAAAAACGAATAATCATTATATATAATTAACGTAACATAAAACTGAACTAAGAAACCCATCAAGGGAAAAGACGCACACATATACTGTTTAACATTTTAACCAACATCTTTAGTTTGTCAGTCTTTCTTCTTGACCCTAAGGTGGCACATAAGGCAGAGGTCATAGCTCTCCATGTCTGGCGGTTTGTTGCCACCTACTTCAGGTCTTGGATGTTTGTCAGGCGCATGGTTGAGCCTTCCCTGATGATGGTTCTACGTAGAGTCTCTTGGTCTTCCCCGTTTTCTGGTCCCTTCCGGTGTCCATAAGAGCTTGATGGGGAACATCTTTACCAACAAATAAAAGACTTTTACTACAAATATCTCTGTGTGTGGGTTCAGGGGTTCAGTTTTGGTAGAATAGAAAGAATAGCCCGGCTGCTCGTAGTAACAAGCATGTCGTAAAAAAGCAACAAATTAGGAGTTTGCTAAAGTCCGACGAGCTGGACCGAAAGAAGTAGATATCACAGCCTAGCTGTAAATCACAACACAACATGCCAACTGCCCTTTTAAGGACAAATATACACAAAGAGATCCCCCACACACACAAGAGATACAAAAAAGAGATCCCTCAGAGACAACAAGTTAACAGCATATCATTTACATCATCATCAAAAACTGACCCCTGCATTTGTTGGCTGTGTGTTTGTTTACTAGGCAATTTTACATTCTTCTTCATCCTTGTTTGTCCAAGGGAAGTAAATGCACTGCATCAGTTTAAAGTTTAGCTGGAACATTTGCACCTTTGCAGTGGACACTTCAGACATCTTCCAGTATTTGTTATCCAGGTTAGTTTTTGTGGAACATCTGTAGCCTCATTTGTGAGACAACTTCATTCTCCCTTGATTCACGGGTGCTATGGACCCTGAGAGGACCCCTTAAGGGCAGCGGAGTGCAGATTAGTTGACCCTCAAGGAAAGGTCCAGGCAGAGCATAGGCATTCCCTACCATCTAAGTAGGCCCCTACCATCCAATGAGGCCCCGACCATCAAAGGAGGCCCCTACCATCTAAAGATGCCCCTACCATCCCAGGACCCACCTACCATCCAATGAGGCCCCTACCATCTCAGGACCCCCCCTACTATCCCAGGACCCGCCTACCATCCCAGGACCCGCCTACCATCCAAGGTGGCCCCTACCATCTCAGGACCCCCCTACTATCCAAGGAGACCCCTACCATCCAAGGAGGCTTCCACAAATGCAGAGCTCTCCTGACCCCCTAACATGCATGTCTGTCGTGAAATGATAGCCATTACGCATCGGTCTGTAAGGCTGATAACCTGTCTTACCTGTAATCTGCACAAAATTCAAACTTGGACTCGCCCAGAAATATATAGTCCCTTATATCTATATATATATAGGCCTGTATTGGACAACATTATTATGTCTGCCTTTTCTGGTTACTTTAACTAAACTCCACTTTTAAATGTATATCTCTTGGAGATATATTTAGGGAGTTATTTGAGGTTTCTTGGAAACCGATTTACTCCTTGCCCCAGTATACAAGGGACTTCTTTTGTACCAACGCCTGAAGTGTCTAAGTGACGCTATTCTCCTTGCCAGCTTCTCAAGCGTCCAGATGTGTTAATCTGTGCCTGTATAACTTTCACTTTTCAAGGCAATTTGGAATGTCTCAGTTTTTACAAATGCTTGGGTAAGTTAATTATAGTTTACGAGTACCTAGAATGATGTCTGTAAAGTAGTCACTGCTGTAGAGAAATCAGTATCGGCTGTGTTATCTCACTTAGTTCGACCGTTCTTGATCGCTAGAGTAGCGGATTCGAACGTAGATCTTCCATTGTACAGACTAAATAGCTTATGCCCTCAATAAACCACCCATACTGAAAAACTTAATACCCTTACAATTATGTACGTTTTAAACTAACTAAAAAATCTGTACATACGAAATGGGGACAGAATTGGGTCAGGGCTTTGTTAATCAAAGTATGTGTGTGCTTGACCCAGATCAATGAGTGCTGGGGCGGTTGGGAAAGCTAGTGAATGCAGGTACTGACAGTAAATATTGGTGTCTGTGTGCAGAGTGAGGGGGAGAGGGAGAGTGATATATGTGTTAGACCACTCTATCTATCTCCACTGTATATCTGACTTGCCTTCTCTTGCACTAAACAGACAGATAAATATAGGAGACTTATGTCTTTTGGTCTGGAGAGGCAATCTGAGGAATGAAACAGGAGAGCAGGGAGGAGTCAGCAGATGGGGGTTGATGACTAATGCTTGCTCTGTCTTTCCTGTCAAGATGTTACCCTCTTGGTGATGACTAATGTTGAGTTATTTTCTTGACAGGATGTATATTTTCTGAAGAGCTGGCAGAAGATTCACAGTCCAACCAACATCCACCAACCATCAAACCACCAGAAACAACTTGTTACCCACCAGCTAACACCTGTGAAGGTTCCTGACATCTCCAAAATGTGGGAGATTGTACCTCAAACAGCTACCAGTGCTAGAGATTAATGTGGCTCAAAGACATTGTGTGTCCTTACTGGTGATAGAGACTTGCTAGATACCGGTACAGTTGCTGTGTTCTACATAGTGAAGTACTCTTACTACTTGATCCAGTGGAGCAGAATTCCCAGAGTCAAAGACAGTCGAATCATCCGGAGCTGAGGGAGGCATCATAGACAGAAAGAAGAGAAGATAAGTCTGATGCTTCGCATGATGTTGTGTTCCTCACAGCTCCTTGTGTCCAGTGATGAGAAGATGTCATCTCCAAGACCTTCTGTCTGTGTAGTATCTTTGTGATTTGGACATGATATCCTGAGATCTGGCATTTGTCTCACTTTTATATATCTAATTTATATTGATTACATACATTCATTTTCATGGCTGACTTAGGTGTCTCTATTTCACCTTTTTAAGTGTTTAGCAGTTGTGTATGTATGTGTATCTTCATTATATGTGTTAACATGGTTATGATAATGAACTATCATAACCTGGGGGCTTTCTTTAGTAAGTAGTGGGGGTGTCCAGCCAAGTGTGCCTAGAAATATTATATATATATATGCTGACATATTTTGTAGTGCCAATACTTGAGTTGCCCTACTCCAGAGATAAGTTGATCGTATATTGGCCACGGGGAATCCCTTAGACCAATACGAGCCAAACGACTCAACATAATTATCTCTGAGTGCTGTTGGTTCTGAAGGAGGAATCCTTACATTAGGCACGCGACAGGAGTGATATGTGACAATGTCCCACAAGGTGACTAATTAGAGAAGTCTGCTTTAAAGTAGAAATGAGAAGAACCAATAGTCTGCTTACAATTAAGTCTGATTTGTAAAATGGATGTGCACACAAACCTCGTGTTCTGGAAAAAGACTACAGGCCAGAAGTGGCTGAACAACCAGAACTTTCTGCTGAAGTTGACAGCCGGCAAATGTGAAGCAGAAGCTAGCGACTACAGTTTCGACAATTAGCGGTCTTTTTGGCAATTTCCGTTACCATGGAAACCGTTTGAAACTTGTTTGGGAAATGTCGGCTGGGGTTTCGGGATGGGTCCTAATCTCTCATGAAATTTTGCGATTGTTGTGATTTTCACCAGCTATAAATAGCTGAAAACGGCGGGAACATACCCGATTAACAGCGCATGTCAACGACAGCCGGACGTCCTCAGTCCTCTGTTTTTCTGTTACATCAGTTTGATTGAAAATAGCGATAAGTATTCAAAGTTGGCTTTAGGCTCTAAATGTTACCAGACATGGTAATGCTAGTTATAATTGAATTCTCTGTCCAATTTTACATTTGTGTATAAAATTTCTTTCTTATCTGTGGCTGTTTCGATTTACAGTGACATTTTTCATGCAATTGCTATTATGTGGCTGTATCTGACAAAAATTGTCTGCCATCTTGTCCAATGAAAACAAAGCCAAAACGAAAGTTGCGCAGTTTGGTTGCGCAGAGAAAACTTCTTGTTTCTCAGACACAAGTTTTAGCAGCTGTTTTTTACATCTCATCTCCACAAAAACCTACATATCTCAGCTCAGAAATGACATACAAGCCTAAATGAGGTACCGTTGGAAAGAGATTGTTTACAGCTAGCTAACTGTGCTGGTTTTATTTTGAAAATTTGACTAAAGTACCTACAGAAGCACCAGACTAGCAGGCTAACATGCTAGTGACTGCATTGCCACATTCCAATAAAAGTTGAGCACCAGCAAGGAAATCAAAATGAAAATTCTGAGAGCATGCATTTCCCTGTAGCAACATACGGATGTGAGTCGTGGACTACCCCCCCCCCACCCCCCCACCCCCCCCCCCCCCCCCCCCCCCCCCCCCTCCTTAAGAAAGAAAATAGGAGCTTTTGAGCTCAAATGCTATAAAAAAAGATTTTCAGAATAAGATGGGCAAAGAAGAGAAGAAATACTGACATTTTTAAAAAACTGAACATCCCGGAAGATTGGCTTATAAACAGCTTCTTGTCTTGGAAGCTGAAATATTTTGGTCATATCAAGACCCATAACAGATTGGAAAAAAAAATAATAGCAGAAGGTATGGAGATCATAGATTGTGGAGAGGTATGATGCCCACGCCAGTCGACAGGGCACTTGATGATGATGATGGTACCAAGAAGGAGAGGCAGGGGCCGACCAACACGAAGATGGGCAAAGGATATAAGTGACTCCTTGAATATGAAAGTACATGAGATGGGAGAATTGGCGAGAGACTATGAGTTTCCTTGAGGCAGACCGGGATGAGAGCGACGTTCTGCAAAGGACCTGCTACAAAATCCTTACCTTCAGCTTAAAGGAATCCAGTAGCTCTCTGATTTTGGTCACGTCTGTTGAGTTCACGGCAATTAGGGTCTCTGCCATACTGGCACAGTACTTGCAAACATCTGAGAGACAGAGAGAGGACACGTCTAGAATATAGTAAAAATACAACAAAATCAACCAGATCGAAAAGTAATACCAGTCCCCCCAAAATCTCACAATCAAGAATAGCAAAATGAATGTTTCAGATAAACAGCCTTCATCAACACTTGAATAAAAAAGACAACTAACCTGCTGTGGGACTAAGAAGAACTGAACAAAATGTAAGGGAGTTTCACATCATAGCACTCGGGACATTCCCATAAATGCTTTGTCCCCATCTTCAGCAGCCAGCAAAGAGTTTCAACTCCGATGGTTCCAGCAGCAGCCTCGTAGTATGTTCATCTTGCCTTTCCCCTGAGCGCTGGCCAGATTCTCTGGTCACTTCCTGTGGCATCATTCTCTATAGACCATGATGATCTAATTGTGCCTCTGCACAAAAGGCCTTCACAACATTGAGCTTGTCCTGCATCAATTTATCATGGAGTGTTGCAGAACCAGCCATTCTATCTGCATGTGCATTTCCCAATACTGCTGCACCCTCTGGTGAAAATATTCAAAGGATGCTAACTACCAAGGATCTCTTAAAGCAATGCTTGCCCTCTACATAAAGCATACCCAAGTCCACCTTTCTCAGCACATGTGAGGCTAACAATGACACTGATAGTACATCTTTTCATTCTCCCTAGCAAAAGTTTTCACATTAGAAGGCTACAGGCCTCTATGAAGGCTGTGTTGGGATGCATGTCCTCCTATGAAGGCTGTGTTGGGATGCATGTCCTCCTATGAAGTCTGTGTTGGGATGCATGTCCTCCTATGAAGGCTGTGTTTGGATGCATGTCCTCCTATGAAGGCTGTGTTGGGTTGCATGTCCACCTATGAAGTCTGTGTTTTGATGCATGTCCTCCTATGAAGGCTGTAATGGGATGCATGTCCTCCTATGAAGTATGTGCTGAGATGCAAGTCCTCCTATGAAGGCTGTAATGGGATGCATGTCCTCCTATGAAGTATGTGCTGAGATGCATGTCCTCCTATGAAGGCTGTGCTGAGATGCAAGTCCTCCTATGAAGGCTGTGCTGAGATGCATGTCCTCCTATGAAGGCTGTAATGGGATGCATGTCCTCCTATGATCCACACTGCTTGGTTTTCCCTTAGAATGCTGTCTGGCCAGACATGTAATCTTTCTTCAGCATGTAGAGCCCACGTCTCCAGCCAGTTTATGTTCATTCAACCTATACACATCATGGCAGTCGGGTGTAACCCATAAATGATCAGTTCTACTTCTAACTCAAGCCTGAGGCTGAAGAATCTCAGCGCAGTGCACGAACCCCGTTGCACCGGTGAGGATCCTGAAATTATTTGGGTAGATTTTTAACTCAAAATTTTGCCCGGGCAGCACTGTTAGGCTACTATTTTCGATTTCCAACTGCCAAGTGATTTTTTTATACTTGTGTGCAGGAATACACACAGGTGTCCGATCTTACTACCAGAAACCAAGGGAGATTACTAGAAGTCCACACGAAAAAATCGCAGCCTTTATCGGGGCCTTGAACCCGGGATCTCAAGGCGGATTTATAATTTGATTATGTAGTACATAAGACAACAGGTTGTGTGCAAGAATAATTACTAACAAACATGGCATACTTTTATTAGCACTTTTTTATCTTTCCAGATGATAGTGCTACACTGTGCTATGGGAATCGGTCCGTGGCAATGGCGAGTGTGACTAGCAACACCCACCCGCGTTATAAAAAGCCCTTCACAATTAGAGCATGGGAGTTCAATCATATGTGTTTAGTCTGCTTCTTCTCAGATGCTCAGTTCTCCACAGTCACTTTTTTCTTTACTCTCATTCCCCCCTCCACAGAATTTCGTTCCCATACACCTTGCTCAATCCCAATATGGCATAGACTAGTTGCAAATCAGCTCAACTAAGACCTGCAGACCCTTGTTATTTTTTAAGGATCGCCATGGATCTCAAACTTTCTTTTTATATTCACACTTCTTCTTGTTTCCGTTCACCGGCTGACTGAAAGTTCTGGGTGTTCGTCCACTGCCAGAATCTGAGTGCTGCGTGCACATGGGTTTCACAGACCTTGCTTATCTGTATGCAGAATCTTGGTTCTTTGCCTCTCAGGCAGACGAACTCGAACTATAAAGGATGCCATCAATCAGCTGACTCCTACAAAATTCTTGTTAGGGAGGCAGTGGGTCTGTTCTTGTTTTCCTCACAACTGAGTCCCGGACAACACAGATTCATAATTCATAATGAAGAATTGCATTCTAAAGTTTAGGGTTTTGTGTGTATAAATGTTGAATGAGGAATTGACATCACAGCACTTGGGGCGCTCCCAGAAGCGCTCCGTCCCCATCTTCAGCAGCAAGTGCAGAGTTCCAATTCTGATGGCATTATCCATCTCACCTTTTCCTTGAGCGTCAGCAAGATTTCCTGTTTAACTCGTAGCAGCACCATTCTCCTCAGACTGCGATGATCTATCTATGCCTCTGCACTGTTCACTTGCTCTCAAAGGGCCTCACAACATCCAGCCTGTCATACATCAGTTCATCACCAAGTGGTGCAGAACCAGCTAGTCTATCTAACCTTTCTCAACATACCAGCATATAAATGTTATCAAGGACCTCTTAAATTTGTTCAGCTGACCCCCCCCCCCCCCCCCCCCCCCCATCCCCTCCAAAGACTATCAAATGTCTGGTATCAAAGGAGATACGTTGGTATAAACTAAGAAGAAAAAGCTAACATTTTTTGTCAAAGGTCATCCCGTGCCCTGGCTCAAATACAATATCCACAACAACAGGTTGAAACTGCCAGAGGTCGCTGTCATCACTGGAGTCAGCGGCTGCCATTTTCTCTGGCTGTAGTGGTTCCAAAAATTGTGACAGACTACAGCATGTGTAGAATCTGGGGAGTACAGACAATAGAAACTGTAACAGACTTCAGAACACACACAGAACCTATGTAGAGATAACAGATCCTGTGATATACTATAACAGATGTTGAATGTGCAACACACATTATCTCACCAGCTAACCCCCTCCCCCTCGAGCCAACTTGCACATGTCTCCACAACAACCCCTCACCACATAACAAACCTGCACACCGCCGCACTAGCTCCTTCAACCCCCCCCCCCCCACCAGCCATGTGAACAACCACACCAATCCTTACTCTACCACACCCCCTCCCCCTTTCCTCACCCACCATCTCAACAGACCCTCACCCGCATCAGGTCACCCACACACCACCTGATCTACCACATTAGCTAGCTACAGCAGTTCTCCAGATCAAACAACAGCACTTTCACACACAAACATGGTCCATGCAGGGTTATCTCCCACTGAAATCAAACACCCAGGAACAAGTTTGTGTCAATATAACCTCCCCTATCTCACTGATCCAACAGGTGGTATTCTGTAGTAAACAAGTTTTTAATGACAAAATCCTAATGTAAGGGCAGAAAAGACAACATTCAACTTCTTACTCTCCCTTCATTTTGTCTTCTACTAAGGTTCATCGCAAAGGCAAATTATCATGCCTAAGACAGTGTTTCACAAACTTTATTTAGTCGCAGCGCCTTTTTTCAATTAAAATTGTCCGCTGTCCCTTAACCGAAGTAAAAGTATGACTATTCGAATGTAAGAGATTTTAAAATAAAATAAAACTTGTGTATCTTCAAATATTTCACGGCACCCCTGTGAAGAGGTCGCGGCTCCCCAGGGTGCTGCGGCAAACAGTTTGGGAATCACTGGCCTTAGGCAATGAAACTAGCATATCTTCTTCTTCTTAGCACTCACCGCTGCAAATTCTAACGGAAAAGTTCTGGGTGTTCGTCCACCTCTGGACTTCAATCTTGTTCCAGAATCTGAGTATTGCATGCACATCTGTTTTTAATCATCTGACTTATGTGTATGCAGCCTCTGGATTCCTTGTCTCTAAGGCAGATTTACTCAGACTTTTAAGGAAGAACCCAGTTAATCGACCCAAATGACAAGCTTGTTGGGGAGGCAGTGGGTTCATTCTTGCCTTCCCCACAATAAAGACTTGAACGTGCACAGGGAAAGCCAGCTTGTGACACTACAACCTCTATTTTGAGAATGGAGGTTTAGGTAATCACAGCAGCTTTCAGCTGGCATGAAAATCAGCTGCAGACACATGTGATGGTAACAGACTTTCAAAGCCTGCTGAGACAGGCACGCTCCATGCAGAGTGGCAAGCATGAATTCAAAGCTCCTGGGTACAGTCCTTTGGATCTTTTCTCCAGGACAGGCAGACATGTTAGAAAAGCAATGGGCAGCGGAAATGGCTGGTGCTGCATCAGTAGGTGGTGAATGAGTGCACGACAAGCTATATGTGGTCAAGACAAGTCTGAAATGCTACTGCTCTTGGCTGTGATTTCAATCTCTCTCTACAGCAAAACAGAACACTTTTAAGTTGAAAAGGGGGGAGGGGTGTTGGGGGCTGCGTGGTCTTGAGATTTGGTGTTCGCCTCGAGTGCTAAAGGTTCCAGGTTCAATCCCTGGTACAGGCTGGGATTTTTACATGCGGACTTGGCATTTTAGTAATTCCCCATGTGCATTGTTGCTCACGAAAAAATCCCCTGGCAGTTGGAAATCAAAAAGAGGAGCTTAACGGCGCTCCCCGGGCAAAATTTGGAGTTAAAAATCGACCTAGAGTATTTCAGGATCCTCGCTGGTGCTGCAGAGCCTGTGCACTGTGCTGAGCTTCTTTGAAAGAAGAACAGAGCACCTATGAGTTACAACCCGTGTGCCATGATGTTGATCCACTGTTAATAACCTCAAACCTCAAGTTGAAAGATACCGAGAAAAAGAGAAAGGTAACAATTCTTTGCTGTCCTTGGAAGTCCATTATCATACATATATCACCAATAAACAGCAATGTCTTTAAGTTCTACATGGAGGAACAACTCTAATCATGGAGAGTTCTAATTCTTCTTTTTTTCTAGTCCTCTATTGCCTTTCAGCATCAGGTTTCGCAGAGGCATTGGGCGAGAGCCTTGGTATCCGCCACATAGGTACTTGTATTTACGACTTCGGCTATTCCATCTATCCATTGCTTGCATGGTCAACCTCTAACTCTACTTGCCTTATGTTTAAGTGACAGGGTTCTCTGAGGTGCACTTCATCTGTTGTCTTTTAAAGTAGTTTAATACTGGTTCCATCCCAACTTCTTTCCTGATTTTGTCATTTCTGAACTTATCCCTTCTAGTTACATTTAGAATTCATTTAATTTCTGTTTCAATCTGTTATTCTGATTCTAATTATTTGTAATTTTCAATAAAAATGTAACAGCATCCTGCCCCCATACGGATACCAGCACAAAAGTACAAACACCAATCACTAACTCTTCAAGCTGAACAGGTGGGAAACACATAGAGGAGCGTTTATATTTAAACACAGTTGTATCGGCTTTGCATTTACGGAAGCCTTCTTGGAAGGCTGAAAATGCTCATGTTCTGTCCCTGCCTTCTCATGAGGGCTGACCATCAGAGAGATGTGGTTGCTGTGGACCGGCCTGATTGGGAAGGGGGGAGGGGCTGCAGAATGGGAAGCAAGAATGACTATACAACAATTAGGCCGTGCAATGTCCCATGAAACTAACCGAGAAGGCTTAACTTGGGCAAAATATGCCTGAAAATGTCAGTTGAAAGGTCACAGCAATGCTGTCAACAGACGCAATGCAATAAGGTCCTTGAAGAAAAAGAAGCAAAACACAGCTGTTACGTTTTACGAGCGCTCAAATGTGAAAAAAAAAACAGACGCAGCTGGAGATCGATCATAACATGTTTACCCCACACTACAGGGTCTGCAACACTTTAACTCATTAAATACCATAACTGACATCAGTGACAAATGTCATGCAATGTCATGCACACAGAACAATAACTAAAATAAGAAACGGATTACTACTGTTAATAACGGTAAGAATAAAATGCTTTTAAACTGACAAACTGTAGCTGAAACTATCAGCCCATGTTTAGTTGAATAATTAAATGAAATTTAATCCACCAGTTTAAATTCTCATCCATGATATAGAATTGCTGAAAGGTGTTGGTTATGTTTTGTTATCTCAGTCGACGTTACTGCACATTGGATATTCCCATGGGTGCTCAGTCCTCCAATGCAGCAGTCAGTCGAAGGTACCTCTACTGATTATTTCTTTGAAGAGTTGGTTAAGTCTCCTATCGCGGCTTTGAAGGCGGCATAGACCTGCTTTCCCATGCTTTACCCCTATAAGTGTTAGTAGTTTGGCAAAGGTGGTAGTATCTAGGACAACACAGTGGTCTTAGGTTCGACCATTATTAGTGGAAGAGTCGGATCAAGTCTAGGACTGAGAAACATGTGTTAAACAGGTTACTAAAAAGAATTCAACCTAGTAGAAGCCTAACTACTCACAATCACAGTTCTCCGTGTGGGTTCCAGGGCTCTGTTTCTATTTAGAAAGTAGAGGCAGCCAGCGTAAAGTTAACCAAATCCCAAACCCAGTGACAGGTATATAAAAATATGGGTCAAGTACCAGGTGCTTAACAAGTAATTGGGTTGAAAAAAATTAAAATTAAAAAAAAAAAAAAGTTTCAAAAAATGTTATGAAAGGGATACCTACAAATGTTTGCGAGTTCCACCAGGACGTGCGCACACATGCACGCATGTGCAAACACACAAATACACACACACATACACAAAAGCCAACACCTGTTGTCTGTCAGAGGTGCGTGGGTGTGCATCACAAGGATTATGAATAAACTGGCCAGCTGTGAAAACTTGTTTCGTGGAGCGGTGATTTTTGGTCGCAGGCATAAGGAAAGGTTAAGGTCGCTATGATGTGTATAAGGAGATACTACATACCTCGCCTCGGGCGCCAGCAGGCTCTGTACTGGTTTTATCTATTCTCATGCAAGACTCCTGCCACATGTCCCCGTCGTGTGCTATGAATAATGTCTCATATGAGTATTTCTTCTTTGATCCTTCTGTCAGAAAACTTATATCAGGAGGCCAGTAGCCTTTATGAAAGCTATCGTGCAGGCCATATCTTCTCGTGTACGATACAGTTTTGTCTTCATTGTGGTTGGAACCGGCCAGACTGCGTCTCTGTTGTCAGCCTACAGTTGACAATGTTGGAGCACATGCTCTGCATTTTCAGGTGCAAAGTTGCAGGGGCACGTTGAGACTCAGCCCGGTGCTTTATTAACATCCTACCCCAAACAGAAGAAATCAATAGGTCACAGGAAAGTCTAATATTTCAGAGGGTGGGACCTAGGCTGCATGCAGTCGTGGGACCTAGGCTGCACTCTCTTGTGGGACGTAGGTGGGTTGGGGTTAGGGCCAGTTCTAGATTTTTTTGGGGTCGTTAAAAGCGTCAAAAAGCTGGGAAACCCAGTCTTACCACCCTCTAAAATGTTGAACTGTCCTGTGACATCATCTGGGGTAGGATAGCACGAAAGAACCCTCAGCGAGCCCTAGACCAAAACATTTGTTTGCAGCTTAGACGAGCAACATCTCCGGTGGATTGTATCTCACGGTTCTGTCCCACAGTATAATAGGACAGTTTTCATGTCCAACCACTGAATGTCTTTTTGTGTGACCGGCAAGGGTTAGAATTCCAACCATAAAATGGCTCATAGTGTGACAGAGAAACTATCACTGACCTCATTCGTTGTAGCATCAGAACCAACTGAGAAGCCATGCCTGATACATGCTTTTCTAATACTGCAGTGCTAAATATCTCCACTGCATCAATGTTAAAGGTGTCTACCGTGCTGAAGGAGACACTTGCCATTTGCGTGGTCACTAAAGACCCGGACCTGTGTGCTGGTCCTTGACATCTTCAAATGGTGTAGCCCGTGACAAGTGGGCAGCTCAACACATGGATATGACGTTAAGTAGTCACGTGCAGGATGTGACGATTCCTTGGGTCAGCCCAGGACCAGAGCTTCATGCGTTGGCTCTGCAATTATGGAAGCCTCCTTGGATGGCGGGGAATGCCCATGATCTGCCCCTGCCTTTCCTACACCCGGTCAACCAGGCAACACGTGGTAGCACTGGATGGGGTCTTCAGGGGCACCACCTCTAGATAAAGGGACATTTGTGCCCTTTGGCGGACATATTTGACTCATCAGGCATATGTTCACCAGGTTAGTCTTCCCAGATGGTTTCGTGGGACATGACTTAGCCTCATTTGTGTAGTAGTGTCCTAACAAGAAAAGAAAAAGCTTGTTTCCACAGATGTTGGTTCAAAGTTTCCCCGTGTGGATTATGTAGCCAAAATGTAGAGGAAAGGTGGGGGAGGGGGGGGGGGGGGGGGGTTGAGGAACAGACAGATTCCACCCATACCCCACCAACTTACAACCATGTCATAAAAGTCAACTAAGTATGAGTGTTTCCTTCGAAGTCAAGAGTGCATCTGCCTGAGAGGCAAAGAATCAACTTTCCATACATATAAACCAGATTTGCAAAATGGTTGTGTACGCAAAACCTAAGATCTGGAAAAAGACAAAAGTCCAGAGGTGGACGAACAACCAGAACTTTCCACAGTCAATGAATGCTAAGAAGAAGTTCAAAGTTAATTTACGCATTCCTTTTTCTTCTGATCTTTATCATCCCACTGAAGCATAAGCCCAAAACCAACCCATATCAAGTCATAATAACTTTTACCATCCCGGTATAAGTAAAGGGTGTTGGGAAGCGAGGACGTCAACTACAAAAAAACACCGAAGGTAAACATTTATGAGACAGGCCAGGGCTGGGGACCTGGACTGCTTTCATAAGACTGCACAGGATAAAATGGAATAGAGGAACAGACTGCAAGCCCTATGTGACATATAATGACACAACAGGACAATGATGATGAAAGGAGGCAGTTTTACCTTCTGATGTCCTCCTCTATCTGTGGTGTTGTGCCTGAAATTCTGAGGCTGGCGTTTAACAAAGCCTGAAGAAGAAAAAATGAACAGAAATACAGACTTTCCCAGTGTTTGAAGCAAAAGTAATCATATGCTAATCAACAGGGAAATAAGGGTTCTACTGTACAGTAAAGTAACTTGAGTTGAGTTGATTCAAGAACTGACATCATTGCGGCACTCTGGGCATTTCGATAAGCACTCTGTCTCCATCTTCAGCAGACAGAGCAGAGTTCCAATATCAATGATGCCAGTAGCAGTTTGATTATATGTCCATCTTGCCATCCCACTGAACATCGATCAAGTTCCACAGTTACAGCCACGATGCATCTCCTGTCTTTAGTTTATTAAACTATTTTGAATAAAGAAGACTCAAACAAAACAATTTATCACCTGGCGCTGTATCTCAGCAGGGAGGTACATATGACCATAACAGCTGAATAGCATGAAAGACAAAATTGACATTGTTAAAAAGTAATTGCTTGTTTTACCATGGGCAAACCCATGTTTTAGACAATACCCACAAACCTAGCGGTTTATCATTGTGGTTTCATCAAAGCGCAGCTTCTGGGGGTGGGGGGTGGGTGGGTGGGTGGATGTCAGAGTCACCGGTGCGTAGCGGCTAGACACTCGCCTGAAGGTTGTGGGTTCGGATCCTGATGGACCAGGCTTTCTTACAAAAATGACAATGGCTCCCAGGGCAACCCAGCCTTGAATAGGTACCAGGTGCTGTCCTGGGAAGTACTGGTGGCCGGTGTGATGTTGACTACATCACCTGCCAAGTTACAATTGGTCTATAAAATATAGGTCTAGCCCTATATGCCCAATACACCTGAAGGCGTGAAAAAGGGTCCCTTTACTTTTACTTTTAAAATGGATGTGCACACAATACTCACGTTCTGGAACAAGACTAAAGTCCAGAGGTAGGCAAGCAACCAGAACTTTTCACCAGAGTTTTCAGCCAGTGATCGCAAAGAAGAAGACGAAGAAGAAGAAGAAGAAACACACTTACTTACCGAGTAAAGAAGATACTGAACACTTGTGCCCAAGACCTGGATGGTTCGAGGCAGATACTCTAGCACGTTGTAAGGCCATTGCTCCAGGTAGTTGCGGATTCCTGTGCTCAACTGGCTCAGCTATTGAAAGAAATACTTATTACAATCTTTTGCTGGAAGTTACCCTTCGTCTGCACTATAAATACATGGCTAATACTAAGGAACTGAAGGACCTAAGGATAATACTAAGGAACTGTACACTTGGTAAATAAGATAAACTTAGTGCAGCAAAGCCTGGCATATGATGTCACATTTAGTTTGAGAATGGAGGTGGAGGCATTCACTGCTGCCTTGGGCTGGCTTGAGAATCAGCTGTACACACGTCTTAAATGTAATGACTCACAGACTACGTTGGAAAAGGTGGAGACGGGCATGCTCCCGGGTAGTTAGTGTCCTTCGGATATTTTCTCCAGGTCCACTGGTGTGTTGGGAAATGAGCAGGCAGATAGACTGGCTGGTTCTGCACCACATGGTGCGTGAACTTGTGTACGACAAGCTACATGTTGTGAGTGCCCTTTGGGAGACAGTGGACAGTGCGGAGGCACAAACTGATCATTACAGTCCGAGGAGAATGGCGATACAGGGAGTTACCAGGTGATCTGGTCGATGCTCAACACTCAAGGGTAAGGTGAGACTGATGTACCATCAGACAGTTACTGGTACCACTGGAATTGGAACTTTGGAAATGATTTCACCGGAGACTAAGTGGTTAAGCTGGTTGTCAGATTGGTCTGAGTCCATTGGTTGCTTGGTGCAAATTTAGAGAGATGCCTGGGGATGGAGAATTTCACTGGAACTTCGGAGTTTGTGCTTTGTGTGATGCTCTTGAAAAGCTGCTAGGCCAGTGTTTTTCTACTGTTTTCAGGTGGCAGCCCAATTAAAGGCAGCCCTATTAAAGGCAGGCCGATTAAAGGCAGGCGGAATAAAGGCAGGCGGATTAAAGGCAGGCGGATTAAAGGCAGGCCAATTAAAGGCAGCCCGATTAAAGGCAGCCCGATTAAAGGCAGGTCGATTAAAGGCAGGCCGATTAAAGGCAGCCCGATTAAAGGCAGGCCGATTAAAGGCAGCCCGATTAAAGGCAGCCCGATTAAAGGCAGGCCGATTAAAGGCAGGCCGATTAAAGGCAGCCCGATTAAAGGCAGGCCGATTAAAGGCAGCCCGATTAAAGGCAGCCCGATTAAAGGCAGGTCGATTAAAGGCAGCCCGATTAAAGGCAGCCCCATTTAAGGCAGCCCCATTTAAGGCAGCCCCATTAAAGGCAGCCCCATTTAAGGTAGCCCCATTAAAGGCAGCCCAATTAAAGGCAGCCCCATTAAAGGCAGCCCTATTAAAGACAGCCCAACTTAAGGCAGCCCTATTAAAGGCAGCCCAATTAAAGGCAGCCCAATTAAAAGCACAAACGAACTCAATTTTAAAATTTCTTGCCCCCCCCCCCTTCCCCCACCACCACCATGGTTGACAACCACGGTACTAGTTATTCTGCAGAAAAAGACCGAACCCCATGGGATAACATGCAGTGCAATGTGAAGGCTGATCCTCTCAACTTCAAAACTTTAAACTGATCAAAATTTTGACTCGGAACAAATGTGAGGCCCACCAAAAAAAATTGTTTATGAGACAGAACACACAGCGGATCATGTCTCATGCAATGCTAGAAATGCAGACACTGGCCACTTACTCGACAACATATCAAGCAGAGATAAAAAAAGGAAAACTCATTAAAACAAATGTTTACAAATAGGGATCCCAAGCCCCCATGTAAGCAGATACCAAAGAAGCCTACATGTAAGCACAGATACCAAAGAAGCCTACATGTAAGCACAGATACCAAAGAAGCCTACATGTAAGCACAGATACCTAAAGAAGCCTACATGTAAGCACAGATACCAAAGAAGCCTACATGTAAGTACAGATTTTAAAAAAAGCCCACACATAAACACTGATATAAAAAAAAACATGTAAGCACAGATACCAAAGAAACCCATATGTAAGAACAAATCCCAAAGTTGCCCATGTATCAAAGCCCACATGCAGGTACAGTTTCCCAAAAAGCCCACATGCAGGTACAGCTTCCCAAAAAGCCCACATGCAGCTAGGTTTAAAAAAAAAAAAAGTCAACTAGCAGGTAGAGTTTCCAAAAAAGACTAAATGCAGGCACAGATACCAAAGCAGCCAATATGTAAGTAGATAGCAGCAAAGCCCAAATAGAAGAAGAAATACTAAAGCAGCCTAAACTTATGAGCAGGGATACCCCAGAAGCCCACATGATACTAAAGATACAAATGAAAACTCCCCACATGCCAGTAATATTCACAAAAAGCAAGCAAACATAGGCACGACAAAAAAGAAGAGCAGGCAGTGATCATAACAAAACTAGTATCATTCTTAGTGATTTAATCAAGATGTCTTCCATTTTCATATTCACAGGCAGGAAGTTCTGGCTGTTCAGTCACTTCTCGACTTTGGCCTTGTTTCAGGACTTAAGTTTTGCATGCACATCTGTTTAACAGATTTGGCTTTGCATGCAGACTGTTGATTCCTTGCATCACTGAAAGATTCACTCAGAGTTCATAGGAAACGTCAATCCGGTCTATGCTGGCCAGAATCCTGGCTGAGAACCAGTTTCCAGGATGACCTCAGAGAGCTGTAGATAGTGAGCTGAGCTAAGCTGATAAAACAGACATCACAGCACAGGGCACATTCTCATATGCGCTTCGTCCCCATCTTCAGCAGTCAGCACAGAGTTTCAATACTATTGGTGCCAGTAGCATTCTGATCATATGTCCATCTTACCATTACTCTGAGCGTCGAGTACTGGCAAGAACCCCTCGTCACTTCCCGCTGCATAAGTCTCACCAGACTGTGGTGATCCATTTGCTTCTTCAAATTGTACACGCTCTCCCACAAGGCCCTAACCATGTCTGCCTTATGATGCATCAATATTCCACCAAGTTGTGCAGAGCCAGCAAGTCTGTCCGCCTGTTCCTTTCCCAACACACCAATGTTGTAGTTACTGATAGGTCTTAACCAATATAAGCTACTGGTCCTGGCTCACCAGCTCTGCACCCTAATAAAGACTGCTAATACAGGTGTGTGGCCAGCTTGTCATTACTGACCACTTTCATCTATCACATATTGCAATTCTGGTGATGACTGTTGGTGTTGGCATTTCCAGCAGGTGCCCCATGAATAGACTGCAGCGTGAACTTTCTGGATTTTGCTGAGACAGACAAATGTCTTAATGTAACACTTTACGTAATCACCACAAATGTATTAACTAAATGTCAGTCAGGGATGAAGAATAATAGTGGTAATGCGAAACTGGGCAAAAGCAAATCTGTAAAACATGAAAATAAAAATAAAAGGAAAGAAGAAACAACGTACAATTATAAGATGTCCTAACTCCTCCACCCATTATTTTTAGCAACATCTTTTACATTCAGCAAAAAAAACACAAAGTAACACCTGACCTCATTACCTCTTTCTGATCCAACAGTTGGTCAGGGGAGATAACACTGACAGTGGTATCAGATCTGCTTGGGTGGGAGAAGGGAGGTAATAAAGGCTATGATGGAAGCAAGAGACGAAATAACCATTAGGTGACTGACCGCACAAATACACACAGTATCTTTGCATCTTTAACTCTTTCAACTCCAACTGACTCACCATATATGCGCTGTTACTGTATATATCACATGCATTTCTAAGCTTCAGTCTGGAAGCCGTTGTGGTGTAGTGGCTAGATGTTTGCTTGTAGCTCTGAAGGTTGTGGTTCAAATCTGAATGCAGACTTTTTATTTCCTTCAAAAATTACCTTGGCTCCCAGGGTGACCCAGGCAAAGTCCTGGGAAGTAGCGGCGGCCGGCGTGATGCTGACCTGGAAGCCAAGTTAGTTTTAAAAAAAAAATGGCCAGCACTCTTTGGATTTGAACCCATACCCTTTAGATCTGCAGGTGAGCTTCTACCACTAAACCACAGCTGGCTTCTCAAAATAGTGGAGTAGAAAACCAGAACTGTTTTCAAAACTGAGCTTCCACAACTGACTTTAAGCTCAACAAAGAAAAATGTTCACGTAGCAACAAAATAAATATTTAAAACAAAATCTACTATGAATTCTGGGGTATTATGAAATAGACTACTATAAACAAAACCCAAAAAATATGTACCAATACTATTATTTATCCCACAAACACATGTGTAAGTTCACATTCACAGATATGATCTACTGTATAATTTCCAACAACATACCCTGTCCACAGGGTCATATAAATAAAGGAATACAGCAACTGCAATAGAAAAGTGTGTATGTATGTATATAGTAAAGCCTTAGGATACAAACTGAATCTGTTCCATGACTGAGCTTGTATGATGAATAACTCAAATCCTGAAACTATTTTTTCCCACTAAAATTAATGCAAATAATTTTAATTCATTCCAACCTTGTTGACTGGCTTAAGTCCTCCATCTGCAATTTAGATATGACACAATCCATTTAAATGTGACCTAATCCATTTAAATGTGACAGATTCCATTTCAATGTGACCTTATCCTTTTAAATGTGACCTAAACCCTTTCAATGTGACCTAATCCATTTAATTGTGACATAATTCATTTAATTGTGACCTAATCCATTTCAGTGTGACCTAATCCCTTTAAATATGACCTAATCCATTTAAATGTGACCTAATCCCTTTAAATGTGATCTAATCCACTTAAATGTGACCTAATCCACTTAAATGTGACCTAATCCACTTAAATGTGACCTAATCCACTTAAATGTAACCTAATCCCTTTAAATATGACCTAATCCACTTAAATGTGACCTAATCCATTTAAATATGACCTAATCCATTTAAATATGACCTAATCCATTTAAATGTGGCCTAATCCCTTTAAATGTGACCTAATCCCTTTAAATGTGACCTAATCCCTTTAAATGTGACCTAATCCTTTTAAATGTGACCTAATCCCTTTAAATGTGACCTAATCCCTTTAAATGTGACCTAATCCCTTTAAATGTGACCTGATCCCTTTAAATGTGACCCAATCCATTTAAATGTGACCTAATTCATTAAAAAGTTGTGGAGATGCTGTTAGGTAACCTCGAGAGTTCTTGTCTTTCCTACTAGCATCCTTAATTTCACCTCATATTCTGAGGGACACAAAAACAAAAACAAAATTGGCGAGTTTGACCTGGTATCCTAAAAAAAAATATGCATGTACAGGTATATCTGTTCGCATGCATGCGTGTGCACACACACACACACACAAATTATATATTTATTTATACTTGCACCCCAAACAACTTACAAGTAACTTCTTCAGCATTCCAAGCGTTTGAAGTGCATTGCTGCATATATCCCCCGCCCCCATTCATCTCTCTGATCGGCCTTCTCTTATTTCCACTTGGTGACTCCAAATGTTTATAGGTCTGCCTGGATATTATTTCGTCACCATCTTCTTGGTCTGCCTTGTGGTCTAAAGCAATGCAACTCCCCTGTGTACAGTTTTAGTCTCTATGTATTATCAGTCATTATCTCTGTATGCCCCAACCAGTGCAGTCTACTGGCCCTTATGATGCCAGTAATTAATAATGATTTCTTCTTCTTTTCTGTTCACCAGCTGTATACTCCAGCAGAGTTCTGTTTGTTCATCGGCCTCTGGACATTAGTCTTGTTCCAGAACCTGAGTGTTGCATGCACATCCATTTTACAGATCTAACTTACTTGCATGCAGACTGTTAGTTCCTTGCCTCTCAGGCAGATGCACTCCGACTTCGAAGGAAGCCCCAAATTAGTCGACTCTTACAACATGCTTGTTGGGAAGATAGTGGGTCTATTCTTGTTTTCCCCACAATGGGATCCCCGAACCCACACAGGCGAAGTGGTGATTTAAATGTGTGTGGTCTATGATAAACAATGTTGGTTCCATCTCCCCAAAGGAAGCCTGCTGTAGTAAATATGTGCATTTACTGCATGATCTAGGAATATTACGTGGCGAGGTGCCATGTCTTCTACAGTACGACTCTAATGCCACTGTGTGAAAGCCACAAGAACAGTTTATGATAATGACACCATTTTTTCCCTGGATGTTTTGGGGGACAACCACTAGACAGTAAAATAGGATTTTAACATTTATGACCATTATTCGGTGAATGTTTTCAGTGATAACCATTTGAGAGCATAATGAACTCATAATGAACTGATCTCAATCGGGACCTTTCCCTGAAAATGAGGATGAATGAGTTGTTTGGTTGAGTTGAGTCAAGAATTGACATCACTGCACTCGGGGCATTTACATATGTGCTCTGATCCCATCTTCAGCAGCCAGCCTAGAGTTCCAATACTAATAGTACCGGTCATAGTCTGGTTTTATGTCCGTCTTGTCTTTCCTCTGAGTGCGGACCCTCTGGTCACACCCAGGTGCATTATTCTCTCCAGGCCATCTGACTTTGTTACTTGTTCGCAAAGGGCTCTAAACACATCTTCCTTGTCGTGTATCAATTCACCACCTAGTGGTGCAGATCCAGCCGAGGATGAATGGAAACCTTAGTTTATGAGGTAAACAACGGACAGCAAATTTCAGCGTTCATGGTGGAAGTGACAGGGAACATTCAAAGTAGCTGTGTGTGGCACATAAAGGAGAGCTGTGTTCACAGACGGGGCAACACAAATTATTTAACACAGCTGTGCTTTGCATACAGAGGAAAATATAAAGGTTCAGCATTCACATTGGTACACAGCTTCAAAGCCACAAAGAACATTCATTTACAAGCAGATTTCTAAACATGCTAAAAAATGCCTTAAATTTCTTCTTTTATAATTAATATTAACTGTTTTCCCCAAAAATATCTATTGCATTTAGTAAACAAGAGTTACTTAGATACCCATGTGGCCCCATTTTGAGGAGAAAAAAATCACCCCACAGCCTTTTAACAAGCATGTCCTAAGAGGCGACTAATCAACAGTTTGCTGAAATCGGATGTGTTGGGCCATAAGATGCAGATGTCACAGCCTAGCTGTATACCATACCACAACATGCCAACTGCACTTTCAAGGGCAAAGAAGAAGAAAAGGAATAAGAGGTTACTTAGTAAACATGGGTTGGGGGGAGGGGGGGGGGGGTGCAGAACTAATATCCTTAACAGTACACTTTGTTGGCTGAAAAGATTAATAAAACAAAAATAGAAACTGAATCTCAAAGCTGAAAAGAAAAAAAATTATATTCTTTCCTCTAGTTACCTCCCTGAATCATTAATACTCACACAAATTAATAAGTTAACTCTTGCCCTAACTACTATCTATTGCACTTAGCAAAGATAAGTTACTGAGTATTACAAAATACAAATAAACCAAATTACCCTTGTTAACAGTAAATATAAGGAAGTGTTTGGGGAGATAGAAAAAATCTGGTGTTGAGGGAGAAATAAGCTTCTTGCTTTTCTGGCCACCCCAAACATAGACACATTGTGCTGTTGTAGAGTTTCTCTGATGTTATCTTTCCATCTTGTTCTTGGTCTACCTCGTGCTTTACATCATTCTCCTGATTTTGTGTATACTTTTTATGGTATGGCGTCACAAGGATTCTCTCTAAGGGTGCAAACCACTTGATTTGCTGTCTTTGTATGTAATTTAGAATTGGTTCTGTGCTGCCTTGTTCTCTATGACCTTATTCCTGACTGGATCTCTTCTGGTCACTCCTGCAGCCCTTCTCGTCCACCTCATGTCTGTGGTAACTAATTTTCTTTTGTGATTTGTTCTTTTATGTGCCCTGTCTAATGTGTTGTATAAGCTAATCTTGATTTCTAAGCTTGTTCTTGATGCAATCTTTCTATCGAACAGATCTATGTCTCTCCACAGATCTTGATCCTGTTGATTTCTTGGTCTGTATTTTTGTACTGCCTGAAGTGGCCTCTCCAGGGCACAGGCCTGAATGTGAAAAACCAGCCACTGTCCAGCAGCAGGTCCCTCCTCTCCACATCCCCATGGAGAACTAGCCACTGACCAGCAGCAGGTCCCTCCTCTCCACATCCCCATGGAGAAATAGCCACTGACCAGCAGCAGGTCCCTCCTCTCCACATCCCAATGGAGAACTAGCCACTGACCAGCAGCAGGTCCCTCCTCTCCACATCCCCATGGAGAACTAGCCACTGACCAGCAGCAGGTCCCTCCTCTCCACATCCCCATGGAGAACTAGCCACTGACCAGCAGCAGGTCCCTCCTCTCCACATCCCCATGGAGAACTAGCCACTGACCAGCAGCAGGTCCCTCCTCTCCACATCCCCATGGAGAACTAGCCACTGACCAGCAGCAGGTCCCTCCTCTCCACATCCCCATGGAGAACTAGCCATTGTCCAGCAGCAGGTCCCTCCTCTCCACATCCCCATGGAGAACTAGCCACTGACCAGCAGCAGGTCCCTCCTCTCCACATCCCCATGGAGAACTAGCCACGGGACAAATGTCACCCAGAAGACCAAACAGTCAGAACACTTGGCTCTCATTTGGTACACCAAGGTCAGAATTCCTCGGTAGGCGATTCTTTTTTTCTCTTCTTTCTGTCAGGGTC